AAAATGATGAGTAATTCTTGTACTTGTAGGCTACTTTGTCTTGTTTATTTGTTCTGTCTTGCGTGGTGTTTTGGACATGAGTCTGGCAAATAAACTGAATTGAGTAACATCATCTAATGATTTTTTTTTTTAAAATAAACCGCTCATAAGGGGTACAGTGATTACCAGTATGGGTATGGTGTGCGAGTACAGTATAACAAAGCGTCACCATTGTTTGATGTAGCGATGGCTTTGACATGAGTTGCATCGCCCTGATGCCCATTTCGGTTGCTTCTTTTACTTGGTCCTCCATGAGTGCGACCAAAGGAAAAACCACAATGAAAACAGGCTTTTCATTGCGTCCCATATTCTTAGCGACCATCGGAGCCAGATGATAAATTAAACTTTTGCCGAATCCTGTAGGAAGGACGGCAAACACATCTTTCCGATCGACAAATGCCTTTATTGCAGTTCTCTTTTCGTCTTTTAAAATTAATGCCCTGTCGATTTCTTTTACGACAGACGCGATAGCGGAATCTATACATCTCAATTCTCCAGCTGCTGTCATCTTTGAGGTAAACCAGTTCAACCCAAGCACTCTTTGATGACGTGAGGATTACGTAACTGCAGATCATCTGTCCATCATCGTATAAAAAAGCCCGCCCTGGCAATTTGATTGGCCCGAACATTTTTTGACTGATCATAATTACTCCTCAATGGATCGAGTCCAGACCGAACTTCCCGACCAAAAAATGTTGTGGGCGGGGTTCGGGCTGGCATCCAGGCTACTATTTTTGCAGAACTGAGGAAAAATACTGCCCATAATGTAGAAAAAGCCTTTTGTCAGAATACCAAGAAAGTGATACATTGCTGTAGTCATGCAGAGGATGCTGAATTAATTTATTTATCGCTGTACTGTAATTGACAGTATACTGTATTGTGTTGCATACCGAGTTCATATTCAATTCTTTGGTATTTTCTAGTGCTTTTCATACTGCATTCCTTCTCAAACACTAAATTGTCACTGATGTACATCTGGATCTCTCTCTGCTTTATGCACCTGGAGATTCGACCATGATAAATTCCTCCGGCTATAAGGAAAATAAATGCGACTTTTGTAAGTAACCTGACAGGGATGCATTCCTACACTGAATTGTCACTGATGTACGTCTGGATCTCTCTCTGCTTTGTGTACCTGGAGCTTTAGCTGCTGTCTTATTTATGGCAGATAAGCTGTGTGCCGTTGCTATGGGTCTGGATAATGTCAAAGACCAGGGCTTTGGGATGTTCCTTTCTGCTGCTCTTTCAAAGAGTTTTTCTCAGTGAAAAGGTTGCAGTGTTTTGGCACATGGTGTTTGTGCATGCATCCAGTCTCAAATTCCTTTCAGCACACGTAATGGTAAATGGACTGCATTTATATAGCGCTTTCACAGACCCAATGGCCACCAAAGCGCTTTACATTTTGCCTCACATGTCTTGCTCATGGACACCTCGACACTTGGTCAGGTGGAACCGGGGATTAAACCACCAACCTTCTGGTTTGTAGACAACCTACATGAACCACTGAGCCACTACCGCCCGATCAAACACTGCCACAGTGTAATACACAATAGACTGTAGAAGTTCTCCTGTCTCATGTTATCAATCCCAGAGCCCCGCTCTCAGAAACTCTGCATCGTTTGTAAATGAAAAACTTTTATTTGCTTTTCAGACGGATCTAAGACCATTTTGTATATCTTCTACCTTTAAGCAATTATTTTAGCATAGAGCACATACACATACGGTAATCATCTTTAAAAAACTGAGGTATTTTTTCTCAAATTTTGCTAACAAAGCTGTCTTTCTGCACTACATTGGTTGCTGTACTCAACATTGTTTTGCAGAAGTATAAAGTTTTGTACGGATGTATTTGGCTGCTGTCACAATGAAGGACACAGATATGTCAGCCACTGCAGTGGAATCAATACAGTCTATGACAAAATGCAGTGTATGCACTGACATGGGATTTATGATTTAGTCATCCAGATGAAAGCAGTGAAAAGGTTTTTGTTTAAAGCATTTTTGGGTTAAAAATTATCCAAAATAATTTTTTTGAGCAAGTACATAACCAGCCAGTGTTCATAACTATCTGCTTGCCTTAGCTTGATTCAAAACGGTAAGACTTGTAATAATGTTTTTAATTCCAGTGGTACTGGTGGATTTCCGCGGGAAATTCGAGCATGTCTTTGCGTCATTACGTCACATCTGTACACATAAAGAAGGAGTCTCGGCTAGTAGGCTATATTGCGTGTGAGGATGTTGGAGGTGGAGATTTATAGCCTTTTCTCACTGCACTTGATATAATTCAACTTATCAATTTGATGGCGGATCCAGAGGTTCAAACGACAATCACCAGTGACAACAGATTCACGCGCTGTAAAATGCAAAAGACTTCGGACTTCGGAGTGGCTACAGAAAAAAAAGAGAGACTGCAACCGACCCATGCGAAAACAAGGATAAATATCGGAAGGGCATTAAATGTAGTCACACAATGCTGACTTTGTTAACATTAACAATTTGAGATCAAAGTATAATTTTGCACGGTTTGACGTGATATGATAAACGATCGTTAGATTTAATCAGCGCGATTTACTGCAATTCCTTTTTAAAAAGTGGATCGGATGTTACTTAATGTTGTTCAGATGACATTTTAGGGTGAAAATTCTTATGTCGGTCTGCATACTTCCAAAAAGTAGAATCTGTGATTCCGAATGCCAGTATTATTATTACACCGGCGCGGTGAATGACAGCTGCACATTCTCCTCAAACATTGTGTTCATCCGCGCTGTGTCGTGTGTTGAAGTACAACTCACGTAGCCTAAAGTTGATAATTCCGCGAATAACTGCAATTGCAGATTTCGAACAGAGATGATGACAAAGAGGAAAAAACTGCGGACTGCAGCTTTAATGTTGGTAATAATTCCACAACAGAAAAATCCTCGAGTGGGTGAGCGAGGCATTTTATATAGGGCTTTTCATATGTAGGCCCTTCTACTGTAGGCCTACACCCAAAGCGCTTTACAATCATGTCGGGGTCTCTCCTCAGCCACCACCAGTCTGCAGCATCCACTTGGATCATGCGACTGCAGCCACAGTACTACGGCGCCAGTGCGCTCTCACCACACACCAGCTAGGCTACAGTAGGAGAGTCCTTGAATACGGCTGTTTTTTATATTTCATGTAATATGCTTGCTGTATATCTGAAGCCTAATGATATACTTTCAGTGCAAACAAATCCTTTTATTTGAATGTGTCTAATGTGTTTTATATTTCATTTAATATGCTTCCTGTGCATCTGAAGCCTAATGGTAGTTTCAGTGCAGAAAAAGTGCTTTGACAAATGGACTTAGAGAGCAAATAAGTGTCTCCCAATGAAATGCTTGCAGTGTGTGTGTGTGTGTGTGTGTGTGTGTATATATATATATATATATATATATATATATATATATATAAATATAGGCTATATGAAAAGATCCAGAGCTTTTATGAAGTGTGGAGGCGTCTTTGAACTCTTCACGGATGTTTTTTTTTTCAGTGGATGTGTTATCAATTAAATGTCTGATGTTTCATCGTTCAACATCCAAACACCGTTTACTGAAAATGCATAAGCTGAAAAACAAGGTATGAAAATGAATCATCAGAAAAGAGTCTTTTTAAGGACACAAAGTTTCATCTTGATGGGATGCATTTTTTAAAGGGCACCAGAGTTTATTTTCAGCAAATGAGCTGTCTGCTCCCTGCTGATATAATCCATGCTCATGAATTCAGGTGGTCAGAGCTCCAGAAAAGTTGATAATTGTGCAGAAATGATAGGTCTTCATCCAGCAATCACTCAACACAGATGGAGCCAGGCTATTTATACACTTATATTGACAGTGAGAATCAAAGGCAATGAGTTTTCTCTGTCTGCTGACACTGGCATTTCTCTCTGCTGTTCTTATAGTCTTGTTTATAATCTGAAATCCATTACTTGGACACAGTCACCTCTGACAACAGATCACTCTAAATTGTAATTTAGACACATGCATTTTCTGTGAAGCTGCTTTGAAACGATATGTATTGTGAAAAGTGCTATACAAATAAATATGAATTTACTTGAATTGTTTAGACCAGCACAAACCATAATCTCTGCCAGCAATTTACTAACCTTTTTATTGTAATGAAAACATAATTATCTGCCTTAACATGTTTGTATCGAGATTTCCCATATGTAAAGTAAAGCCATTTTAGACGTTCTAAATATGTAAATATACATTAAGATAAATGTTATATTAGTAAACACAAATCTCAGTGCTGTCTTTAAATTAGCTGTCAAATATATAGGCAACATTTTGAGAAAGTTTAAAATATGGTATGAGCTGCAAAATCCATAGCCCACCATGTATTTTAAAGACTGTCTGCATAGTGTTACTGAAAATAATAGGCTATTATACCTCAATATTTATAGTTCTATTAAAATCCCTTTCACTTATATTTCAGACAAATACGACTGAATATGACAAATATGATTGAAAACTTAAAATCGAAGTGGTAGCCTAAATGTTTGTTACACTTTCAGCCACTTTAAAATAAATCATTGATTATCCAAAACACAACAGAAATCCTTGTTACATGGTTAAATATATAGAAACAAAGATGTTGTGGTAGATCATCAAAATACTTTTTATGTCTTTACAAAATACTAATTACAAAATACTAATTCCAGTTTTAAATTCAAAACCACTTAAATATGAATTGCAGTAGGCTAGGTCTAATATTAAGAATCATTTTAATAATGAGTCATTTTAATCATAAATTCTCTCGTAACTCTCTTTGTTTCTTTTATTAAGAAAGGCCACATTCCTTTCATGTTGCTGAGGAACTGAAGCAATCGTGAAATGCTTCCTAGAACCCTTTATTGTTCTATAGGTGATGCACTAAGGACTAGACCCGAGTGATTCTCATTAATCCCACCCATGCACTGCAGCTATGACAATATTACACCAGCTGGACCTGCAGCCTGAGAAGTTTTGCGCGCAGATGCTGAGAACGCGGACACAGTTAATTGCTATTAATATATTTTGTATAATGGAAATTTCAGTTACCTCTGAAGTCTGGGACACATTTTATTTCATTGCAATGCTCCTCAAACAGTTCAAATGAATTCACCGAGGAATGAAGTGAAGCTTTTTTGAAATGGAATCAGATGATCCACTTGGTGTGAGGAATCAGGAGAACATCTTTGCTGCTTTTACCAACATATCACCAACAATAGCAGGACCCGACGAGCACGCGCCCGCGTCCTCTTACGATATGCTTATTACATCCATACTCGGCACAATTTTGACCATAATGTGTTTGGTTGGCGTGGTTGGAAACGTTTACACTCTGGTCATTGTGAACACCTCTGCGCGCGTAACTGGATCGATGTATGTCTACATTGTGAACTTGGCTCTGGCGGATCTGCTGTACCTCTCCACCATCCCGTTCGTGGTTTGGACGTATTTTGCGAAGGACTGGTACTTTGGCGACATTGGGTGCCGCGTTCTGTTCAGCCTGGATTTCGCCACCATGCACGCGAGCATCTTCATCTTGACCACCATGTGCACGGAGCGCTATCTGGCCGTCGTGAACCCGCTAGACACCTTCGGCCGGTCCCGGCGCTACAGGCGCGCGGTCACATGCCTCGTGTGGCTCTTTTCCTTCATCCTGGCTCTACCGACCATGATCATGATTGACCTCAAGAGAGACGTGCACAATGGAGTAGAGAAGCGCATGTGCCACCCGACCTGGAAGATGACCGCGTACAGGGTGTATCTGACCGTTCTGTTCAACACCTGTATCTTGGTTCCTGGATTAATCATCGGTTATCTCTATCTGAAGTTAGCCCGGACCTACTGGCTGTCGCAAACCTCTGTATTCCCATCCAGAGGAATGAAGAAGTGTCCTAAGCAAAAGGTGTTATACATGATCTTAGGTATAGTTCTGACCTATTGGGCGTGTTTCTTACCCTTCTGGTTGTGGCAGTTGCTCAGTATCTATTATTACGCGCACGGGAGGCTCTTGAGCAGCACGGTGGTGTACATTAACTTTGCTGTGACCTGTTTGGCGTACAGTAACAGTTGTATCAACCCTTTCTTGTACACTTTATTAACGAGGAATTATCAGGAATATGTGAGGGACAGACAAAAAAACAGCAGAGAGTTAAAGAAGAGGTTCAGACTGTCATCTCAAAGGTCTGTGTCTTCTGGAAGTCAACAGTTCTCTAATACTTTGACTAATACGCACCCTAATGGCATTCTGGATGCTTATAGCACATTCTGAAAATATTTCTTAAACATGGCAGTTGGATAATTGATTAAAATTTGAAGTCATCATGTTGGTTATTCATTTTTTTAAAGTGTTTGGTGAAAGGAAGGGTTTTAGGGGTCACCCATTTCCCCCTTCTTTTATTTACACAACCAAACAGACAAACACAGATTACAGCTAAATATAATGTTTTGTATAATGTAAGTTTGAATCTACTAACAAAAATAGCATCAATATCAATTATTCTCATCTTTTAAAAAAGGACAGTATTGGGGGCGCAGAGAAATAGACCGTCATGCTGCCCTGTCCCAAACAACATTAGTTGGCAGAACGTTCTGGTAATGTTTGTTTTTGGTTCCCAGAACATTCTTAGAACACCCAGCACCCCCAAAATCCCTAAACCTGCATTTTTTAAATTTTGCTTTTTAGTTAGAATGCGTCATTTACAGATGTAGAATGGCTTTTTGTTCTAAAATAATTATGAGGGAACGTTCTGTAAGAGTTATTTTATGGTTGTAAAAATAAAACTTAAAATTAACCATTTGGGAACATTCTGTATATTACTTTTAGGTTGTTTCAAATTGTAAAAAATGTACAGATTAATAATTTGATCATAAATATGAATGTTAACATTTTGCACTATTTCTTCTCATGCATCTAGAGAGATCGCTGACCAAATATGTAGATATTAGTAAAATGGTGACTTGATTCTGAACTAAAGGACCATAAATACACACAGGGTGATTCTTTGTTAGATTATTATGTGGAAAATGTGTGCAATCAAGAAAGAGGTTAATGTGCAATAGTGAATTATGTTCAGCTTGATATTCAGTTTCTGTTTATTTAAAATCACACATGACCTTCAATATAATTTGTATTTGTATGTGCTTTGTTATATAAAAAGGCTAATTTACACATTAAATATTTTGTACTTGAATACTTTATATTGTAGTTTAAAAACTATTGTCAGATGTGATTTTTTTTCCCCCAAGTTGCATGCTATTGATAAAAGATAAAGCAGGTTATGTGCTTGAAATGCTCATGATGTATATATGTAACCAGACCTGGAAAAATATAGCATAGACCATAAGTGACTATGTCTCAATTTGTTTTTAACTGATGCCTGGAATATTATCAATGCATCACATCCTTATAGGCTTTTTGTGTTCTGTTTTACTAAATTGTCAAAAAATAATGCATGAAAGACTTTTTAGTTTGATTTTATTATTTGTATGTTTCCTCTTAATTTTATTCGTCTCCTGTTTTGTGGAAATAAGCTTAAAGCAAGCCACATGGTCAAGAATTTCCATAGCAGTGAATGAGGTATTGTATTCATGGCCTGTGTAAACTTTTCTTAAGTGCTGAGCAGTGAGCTGTGAAATCACTTTCAGCAGCTCATACAGGTTTACACCACCAATAAACAAATGAGTCACTTCAGGCTGTTTTCCATAAACAGGATATATTGTTAAGCATCCAGTAGTCTCTTGGACACTCATGGTCCAAATCATTTTTGAATTTTCTAAACGGTCAAGTGTGAAGCCAAATGCTTATTCTTTCTAGATATTGTACCGGCTGTTCTATTTTATGTTGAAGAATTGAAACCATATATTTGGCTACTGTTATCCTGGTAGTCAATGCTTTTTGGACTTCTTCTCGACTCTCCTTCAGTTGTGCAATGACATGGCTACTATTCAGGGAAACTGTGCTTCAGTAAACATTTTTATATCTCATATCAAGCAATATTTTTGTGAAAAGATATTGAAAAAGCACGAACAAATCATACAATAAGAGAGAGACATCTGTAAAGAATCTAATAATATTAATCTCTCATGAAGAGTCATGCGATTTTTTAATACTGAGCAACATTAAAATAATAAATAAAAAGATAAAGGCAATTGTATATCCGGTTGGAGTTGCACTTTACAATATTTTAAAAAATCCAATATCATATGGATTTTAACAATTGGCCTATAAAACAAATAAAGAAAAATAAAGCTATAAAATTATGGTTTTCTTTTTACTGTATGCATTGATGGTGATTTAATAATCTACTTTTTTTAATGGCGGGGTTAAATTCCAAAAAGTAGATTATTTTGTAAATATGGTTTTGCAATCCCATATAATAATTTACCATTATCACTTTGATGATCCACAGACCTTAAAATGTTCTCTTAACAAACCAACAGATTAACCATTTTGAATCATTGCAAGGCAGCAATTTTCTGTAACAATCTGAGTTAGTGTGACTTCTCTGAAATCAAAAACATTATGATTCTTAAAACTATGTTTTGGACAGAAAACCTCTCAAATCGAGCAAATATTTTCTCTTATTTTGATGAAAGTCTGATTTAGGAGATCCCATCTGCAAGTGAATAGATCTGTTGGCTACGGTTTTTAGTGGCTTGGCAGTCATAATTGCAGGGTTCTGATTTCATTGATTGACATTTCAATAGATTCTCCTGCTACGAAGCTGTTAATGCCTGAATTTGACTGACGACTGACTGGGTGAAACCACTTTTTTTTTTTTTACTTGTATGAATAGCTGATATGTTTGTGTAGTCATTTGCCAATGAACCATTCATTCTGGAACAAAAATATGTTTTTTAATGAGGATACAAAAGCTTTTGGCACATGAGTTGAAGCCCACAGGTGCTACATTCCTCTCTTTGAGTTAGAGAAGCACGACTGTGGTGGCAGTTTGAGTTTATATTGGTAAGATCCCATGTTTAGATTTCAAGTTCATTCTTCCATATGACGCCAGTCATGGCCATCGGATGCATGCTTTTCAACTTACACTGACCTACTTTGAAATGTCTTCATCATTTCAATCATCACCTTTTGCCGCAGAGCCTGTTGCATCCTAAGGGAGTCTGAGCATAATTGGCCACTGTTCATCTCTGGGAGATTCTCTCCCAGGGCCAGCATATTTTCCACTTTCACAAAATGAAGCTAAGGATGGTCATTTTGTTTTACTTGGATCTGTGCCACTCAGAATAAAGACTTACTTTGTTGGAGAGGCTGATAGGTAATTGTTTTAGTCTTTGGACAGTTAATGCTAAATTTTTGGTCATTACATTAAGATATGGAGAGCAAGTGCAAATGTGCCTCTTTAAATTCACCATGAAATCTATCTATCTATCTATCTATCTATCTATCTATCTATCTATCTATCTATCTATCTATCTATCTATCTATCTATCTATCTATCTATCTATCTATCTATCTATCTATCTATCTATCTATCTATCTATCTATCTATCTATCTATCTATATCTACAAATAAAGCTTCAAAAGGTGTTTTTAAAAACGGATGTAATGCATATTTTTGAGTAATGAACAATATGTTTAAACAAGTTTCAATTGTTAAATACCATTTCAAAGTGTTTTAATTAATTTTTGACTGTTTTTATGTCATGCGGTTCAACCAGTTGTAGGTATTATGTTCATGCATTATGTTTACTGTTATTACCTTGTCAATTCATAATAAAAGAGCCATGTTTGCAGTTGTGCTACTGTGAGAATATACAAATTGATGTTTTCAATGATCTCAACAGCTTTAAAACTACTTATATTTTTAATTCGTTTTTAATTATTTAGTCTGTTCATTTGTTCGGACAGTTGCACCACCTGACATTTTGGGGGTTTATGATAACAAAACATAAAATAATATGTATTTTTTAAATGTACAAAAAATGAATTCAAACTAAATAGGTTATACAGAATAAAGTGATAAATGTTATGAACGTATCAAATTATTTAAATAAATAAATAAATAATGTACTTGGACACAAAAATATGCACGTCATGTCACAACCCCTAGAGATTGAGGTGATCTGTCAATTTGTTCAGTCATTTGCAAAACTGCATACAAAACGGTCTTCACTTGTAACTCAGGCTGTCCAATATTCAAAACGTTGCATTGTGTGTTCATATCTGTAAAGGTTTAAATTAAATTGTATCCAATTACTAATTGAAAAATGTAGGCAACACTGTAATCGGTTGGTTGGTCGGAGGTTTATATCAAGATTTTTGAAAAATAACATCAAGGTTTTGATATTAGCGCCACAGTGAATGGTACAAGGTACAAACACTTCGTATCAGAGACCTCTAGAGGACATGCAGAAACTAACAACAGACAACGGACGGAGGAGAACTACAACTCTCATGATCCTTCGCCTACAGCACGACGCGTCTGCGTCTGACGTCACACTCTGGCTTGTTTTGGCCGTTTGTTTCGATATCCGGCGATCAAACGCTTTCGATGTGCTGGAAATTGTGACTGAGAGGTACGTGCAATTCATGAAACAGTCTTCGTGTGTTGTAGTCTTATTAGAGCTTGTTTACCCTCGCCATTAAGTTGGGATGAAATACCCGGCTAATAATGAAAATCTGTCTTGTTTAAGTGATGTCAGCTGGCGCGGAGGGTTAACGCCAAACAGCTAGCTGAGCCTGGCTAGGGACTTTAGCGAGTACAGATTTGTTTGTTTCTTTTGTCCTGCTGTATATGTCACTTATTTAACAATGTCAACGTGTTTTAAAGAAAAAAGGAAAACGAGCGATCACATTTTTAACATTAGTGTTTCTCAGCTCTGCTATGCGAGATCAGCTAACGTTAGTCTGTTCTGGACAAGCTATTGGAATTAACAGGCTGTGTTTTAAAACCTTGTTGTAAGCTGACTACTTAGACAGCACTTTTGGGTGTCACTGGCGCGTTTCATTTGAAACATCATAGATAAACCAAACAGGAACACACTTAAATGTCTGTACACAGACACACTCCGTGACAGCACGCATTTAAATATATATAAACATTATTTCTCAAGGACATCAACTCTTCTAACTCTTTTACTTTCAACTGATTATATTGTACGTGAACTCAAGCTGAATAATGGTCATGAATATAATGTTGATGTGTGACTGTGAATCTGTCATTCTAGGCTACTTTAAAAATGTTTGGAAACTACATGAGATCTTATGTGCTCGCGCAGCCTCACAGATGTAGCCTATCCGATCTAGTGTATCTTTAAAGTCAGCATGAAATCCAAATGGACAGTTCTTGT